GCTGTGGTAGGAAGATGGCAAGTTCAAGGCCATCCTCATCAACTTAGTGAGACTGTCTCAAAATAAAAAATAAAAAGGACTGAGGATGTAGCTCAGTGGTAAAGCACTCTTGGGTTCCATCTCCAGTACCAAAAAAAAAAAAAAAAAAGATCAAATCTCTGTGGTGTTTTGGCCCCCTCATCTCCCTACACACAAACACCTCAGGGCCCTGGCACCCTAACCACCACCTGCCCTCTATGGAAGCAAGTGGCAGAGGAGAGGAAAGAATTAGATATCTTCCAAGTCTTCRGAGAGAACACAGGAGTCATAAGGTGGTGTTCACCCAAAAACAGAGGTGGAGGCCTCCAAGAAAAATCACTCACTAAGATCAAAGTACCCAGAAGGAGGAGAGACTGGCATCTCATCCTCCATTTCAGTGTCTAAATATTGGGTAGACTGAGTGACTGCCTGTCTATTTGAACAGGGGAACAAGGAGAATGGATGGGAAGTAGAAAGATACAGAAAAAGGGCACATACTTATGCAATCTATAAGACATCATATGGCATCAGAGGAAGTGAGTTTTCAGTGGGATTAGGGGGAAATGTAGAAGCACCTAAACTTGAGCAGTCTTGCCATTATCAAAAAATCTGCACACAGAGCAAAAAGATCCTCACCCAAACTCACCCACACTCCACACTCACAGGAATAGACAAGTGGTGTGTGGGTTGGAAAAGGTTTAGCTACAGAGAATTTCATACCCAGGAACTATGTGCAGTAGGGAGTCTCCTGGCAAGAGTTCACCAAAAATGTCAGTGTGGTTGTTCACCAGTGGATATCAATGGCCTGCCATCGTTAATCAAGAGACCTTTGGACCCAACAAAGTTTCATATCTCAGCTGGGTGTGACGGCACATATCTATAATTCCAGCGACTTGGGAGGCTGAGGCAGGAGGATGACAAGTCTGAGACCAAGCTGGGCAATTGGGTGAGACCATCTCAAAAAATAAAATGGTCTGAGGACCATCTCAGAGGTAGAATGCTCCTGAGATAAATCCCTAGTACGTGTCCACACACACACACACACAAATAAAGGAGGTGGAGGGATTAGGAGAAACTGGTAAGAAATACTTGCCTTTTTCCATTTATCTTCTGAGTAATTCCTGTCCAAGTAGATGTCTTAAGAGAAAAGAGGCATCCTAGAGCATACCACAATCCCCCCTTCCCCAAGTGCTGCTGCAGCCAGATCCTGAGTAAGAGAGGAAAGGAGTTCTAAACTGAATATGAGATTGAAGGTTTAAACTAGAATAGACTGGAGCTTTTAATAGCTGTAAATGATAGAAAAGCTATCATTTACCCATGATGTCATGAGGCAGAGGGAGGAGGGAGAAGAAGATCCTACAAAGCACAGTTGAAAGCAGTGAACGGTGAAAGTTAAAAACTGTCTTTTTGTTTGCACCAGTTTTGGACTGCTCAGTACCTCGATGACACACGAATGGGAAGGAACACATGCCGTGGGAATTCTCAAGAGTGATTTACTGTACTGCGTAATAACTACGCTAGAAGGTCTCTGAAACTGCTCAACTCTACTGTCTATAACTGTCTGTTCTTCAAGAAGAGGTTAAATGAATCCAGAATCTAGAACTCAATGGTTAAAAACTATAAAAACGTACAATGCCTAAAGATTTAGTAAAACCCTAACTTTTGGGAGAATAAAGAGTTATCAGATGGACAAGTCTGACAGAGCTGCATTTGGGAATAATATTTTATTCTAAACCATATTCAATTAAAAATCCTAAATGACTCTAACTCTCTTAAGCTGAACAAAAATTTCAGTTCAAAGAAAGTTTAACATAAAAATTCCCCAAAACAGTATCTTTCTGAAGCAAAGCTATTCAACTAGTCAAAAAGGCTATTCTAAAATAAACAGTAAACAAATGTTTGCTTAAATATCTTCTAGGAATTACAAATGCACATYGTACCTACAAGGAAAAAATATTACTTCAACAGTTTTATTACTCGTTAATTTTAAGATACTGGGAAAGGTGGGAAACATTTTACATTTTCAGAGGGCCTTTTTCCTTAAAAATACTTGCTAGAGCTTTTTAAAAAGTGACTTTACTTCAGCAAATACCAATGTGAACTTTATTTTCACATAAAAACATCCCATATGTATGTTTTTAAAATTATATAAACATTACAGACAAGCASTGGAAGCTACCAAAAGCCCCTGCTCCATGAAGTTCTTTCTGACGCCATGTCAGTAAGTTTCTAAAGGATGGGTATTCACAAATGGTCAAAAAAAAAAAAAAATCTCTAAAACTAAATTTTAATATTTATATTCTGAATCCACTTATTGCAGACCTGAAATTAGGCTTAAAAAAATCTTGAAATTTAAAAATTACGTTTTAATATTACCAAAAGTACACTGCTCAAGCATGTTTTAAAAAATTTGTGTATTACCTCAGCTCACAGTTCTGGCACAAGGGAGAAGTACTTAAGGCAGTTACTGTTATAGTATTCAAAATTTTCTATCTATTAAATTAGATAATTTTTTTATCTAATAAAAACAAAATGTAGCTATTGTCATATCTGAATAATTAGTACATTCTATTGACAAAACTATCTTCCTCATTCTTTTTTTTTTCCTTAAATATTTTTTTAGTTGTAGATGGACACAATATCTTTATTTTTATGTGGGTGGAGCTGAGGATCGAACCCTGTGCCTCACATGTGAGAGGMAGACACTCTACCACTTGGCTAGAGCCCCAGCCCCAATCTCCCTCATTCTTAAATGACAGACTTATTTAAACAAAAATAAGAGTGACTAACATTAAGCAAAACATCGATGTAAAAATTCAACTTAAATTATGCTTATAAATTCTGCTTAAATTTCACTCTGGGTTACAAATTATACAAGCAAATAAACTGTGGGATTTGGAGTATGACTATGAATAACAATTAAAAACTTTCAGGCTCAGGCAATAATGTCAATTTTTAAAAAGCTCTAGCAAGTATTTTTAAGGAAAAAGGCCCTCTGAAAATGTAAAATGTTTCCCGCTTTTCCCAAGAATCTTCCTGGAAATCTTCAATAACATTACATCCCAGAGATTATCAACCAACATTTGAATAATGCCCACAATGACTTTTTAAAGAAAAAACCCAATGCTATTCTTAACAACCTTAAATGCTTCTAAAAAGGTCCTTCCGGCTTATGAACTCATGGCAGTTTCCTCACAATTGTATACTTATCCTGTTCCACTGTCTTTCCTAGTTTAAGACAAACTCAAATTTACTATCACCTCTTTCTATTTTCTTACATCGCTAAATCTGGAAAGAAAAAAAAGACAAAAACCTGCTCTCCACCCCCACACCCCAACTAAAACAAAACTACAAATTAACAAGATAAAGTGAGATGAAAGCAACACGTTTGTCACATCTTCTTAGTGATGCAGAAGTTTTCCTCTGCTTAGCCCAAATCCACAGCCATATACCTTGATGCAGTTTAYTCTCAAGAGAAACCTGTCAATGGATACGTTGTCCATTTTATAGCACTATAAAATAAATCACCTGCCATTCTGCCAAGTTTAATACTCCTGTTTAAGTGTATCAGTATTCTAAAACGTAATGTCTCTTAGGAAGATCTTGACCAGATCAGGTATATTCACACAAACTTATTTGTGGAAATATTTTTTGCCTCAAGTGTTGTCAATATGAAAAAAACTGAAGTGTGAAAAGTAACAGGTATCTTGGGATAAGTCTTAATATTTCTGAAATAATGGTTCAAGTTCTTCAGATTCCAAAGGAAAATAGTTTTACAAAACTGYGAATTTTTTTTTTTCTCCAAAGTTTTTCTCCGAATCACATACCACTCACCCAAATTTTGCGGTAAATTCTTTTAATGGCATTAAACACAGAAAGTATGTGCGCTGGGTACTCGGCGGGAAATAATGCAGATCGCTCAGTAGTTCCAAGATGAAAGACAATGGTAGAAACCTCAGAGTGTGCTACTTGTTCCAGTCATTAAACACACAGGAAATAAGATTTTCTTGTTAGAAAACTAATTTGCAAAGGGCAGTGACTTACTTAAGGCAAAGAAAATCTTATTAAAGCAAACAGCCATCAACAGCAAAGTAAAGAAACCAGTTATTACAGAGGACTCGAAGGCGAAATGGCACAAACCGCCTGAACAAGGGCTCCTGAAACCTGCTCTCGGACCTGCCCCCAACAGAGCAACAGAGTCTGGGAACTGCCACCGGCCCTCGACGCTCGGCCGGGCGGCGCGGCCCACCTAGAACCCACCAAGGCTGCCAACACCTGGAGAGCAGGACGCTTTCGTTATGACACCACTTTCCCCGCGGCTCGTCCACCCGGAGGTCAACAGAAAGCCTTGGAGACCAACCACACACCCCGCGGGGCCGCCCGTCGGCGGCGGCGGCGGCGGCGGCTGCAAGCTGGTGTCAAAGCCCCCAGACCCGGCTCCGGGTCGCCTCCCTGGTCCCACCGGCGTGACCTGGGGCAAACCAGTCGGTTCTCCCACTGGCCGTCTGCACCCCTGCAGCGCGAGGGCAAGTCACCCCGCCTGCGCGACGTCCGCCGGGGCGACCCCGAAGGGAAGGCGCAGTCGATGCCCGGATGAGGATGCCCAGCGCCGTCGGCCGGGCGCGACCTGGAGCCGCGCCACTCGACAGGCGCCGCCGCCGGGAATCCCCGGACAGCTGCGGGGCGCTGCTCGGAGACAGGGAGGGAGGGGCCGCCGCGCTTCCCGGCGAGGGCACCCAGGGCTCCGCGGCCCCCGCCCCGCCCGCCCGGCGCCGCCCGCTGCCCGCGCGCAGGTGAGCCGGCCCCGCGGCCTCGTCAGGTGCACGGCGCGCGGGAGGGGGCGCGGCCCCGCGCTCACCGGCCCGCCAGCCCCGCGGCGGACGCCCGGCCGCTTCCCGCTGGCCGCCGCCTCGCTCCGCATCCGGCCTCGTCTCCCTCCTCGCCCGCCCCGGCTCGACCGCGCTCCACACGCCCCACCTTACCGCGGCCTCGGCCCGGAGCACCCGCGCCGCCGCGGCCCCGGTTCCTACAGGCACCCAGAGGCCGGCAGCGGCGCCCACGACGGCCCGCCCGCGCACTGCGCACGCGCGGCCGCGTCGCCTCAGCCCCCAGACGGCGGCTGAGATTCCGGAGCGGGCACTCCCAGTGCGCGAGAACTCCAAGTCCCGGCAGGCCCCGCGCGCGCCCGGCGGCGTGGCGAGCCGGGCGTCGGACGTCTTCCTGGTTCCAGGGCGCGTTCCGGGGCGCGCCGGGGCGGGGCGCGCGCGGAGTGCGGGCCCCTGCGCCGCCGTGCATCCTGGGATGCGTAGTTCTCAAGGACCGCGAGGCTTGGCTGGGAGGTGGAACTCCGGGTTCTCTGATGTCATCGCCCCGAGCTGCGAGGCGCAAGGATCTTTAAAATGAAGCTTCGTTCGCTTGCAGAAAAATTTGTTTGCAAACCGTCGCACAGTCGGTACCGAAGGCATTAATTCACAGACTGCAGTGTGATCTGGAGAAAAGTGCTTTCTACCTCTGAGCACAATTTTTCGCTCTTAACCACTTCTTTCTCCTTTAGAAATGCACCTCCACCTCCTAATTAGAATGCTGTTAATAGTATAGGTGGCTACGCGAAACTTAAAGAATTAGTCGAAATTCTTTAAGGGCGGATGTCTTCTCAGATGTTTATAACATATTTGTTGAGCACCTACCATGTGCCAGGTACAGTTCTCAGGGATCCTGCGTTAGGTAAGGGGAGCTAGTAAGATCATGACAGATTTTAATGCGGTGAAGAGCCAGACAAACTGCAGAGGTAGTGTCAGAAAGGGTGGTCAGGGAAAATTCTCTGAGGAAGTGATATTTGAGCCAAAATCTGAAGAATGAGAATCTTTCAAAGATACTAAGAGTTAGAGAAGAATTACATACTATAATTTTCTCGGTACATAGCACACACTAGACTCTGAATAATTTTGTGTTCGTTTCTTCTCCGTGCACAACCTTAGATCACATTATTCCCCCTCCAAATGTGTTTTCAAAACCTTTCAGAACATCCTTTCTATGTGAAGATGGTGCAGGAGACAATGTCCTGAGGTAGGACACACTGTACTCAGAGTTGGATAAACTGAAAAAGGTGAGCACACCTTGCAAACTGCATGGAATGTTCCAGTGCTAGCTCTCAGATTTCTTCCTCAGCTGCCTTTCCTCCAAGATGATTATGCTGTCGTCTTCCCAGAAATCTTTTTGCCCATGCAACCTTAATGACACTTGTCTCTCCTTGGGGCCTCATTTCCTCATCTGAATAATGGTGGAAAGGGTTTGGCCCCACCAGAGTCTGTGAGCAGACTGTTTTCTTTGATCCACACGATGAGTTTGTGTTGGTTTAACTGAATGTGTGGCTGATATTTAAAAATAAGAGTTTTCACATAAAAATCCAGATGTCACCTGATTCCTCCAGGCATTTGAACTGGGTGGGCTTTCCTGGCTTGAAGATCTGGAAGAAGTCTCTAGCTTTTTAGCTCTAGAATCCTAGAAGATTCCAGATGGGATATTTGAGACATACTTAACAGATTTTTTTAATCTGAAAACCCTAACCCTGAAATCAGACCACTGAGGCAGAGAGCCTCCAACTCCCTCTGGATGCAGAGGGAATCATTCTCCTAATGTTACTACCATTTGACATCATCAACTGAGAAGATAATATTGCTCCTTTGCTCTTTTTTTTTTTTGTATAAGAAACCCCAAATATAGCCGGGTGCAGTAGCACCTCCTGTAATCCCAGTAGCTCAAGAGGCTGACGCAGATGGAGGTGAGTTCAAAGCCAATCTCAGCAAAAGTGAGGTTCTAAGCAACTCAGTGAGACCCTATCTCTAAATACAGTACAAAACAGGGCTGGGGATGTGGCTCAGTGGCTGAATACCCCTGAATTCAATCCCTGGTACTACCCCTTCAAAAAAAAAACCCAAAATTTTGTTTGACTTTCAGCACCAAATCTGTATACAATGAGGGAAGCCAGAGAAATGACTCAGTTTGCCCAAAAACACACAGCAAGGTAATCCCAGGACTGCTTTGAGGCAGAACTTGACAGCTCCTGATCAGCCAGTAAGTGCAGAGACTGAGGAAAGGATGAAGAAGGAAACAAACAACAACAACAAAAAAGCTGTCTCTGCTTTTCTTCGTCCTTTTTTTTTTTTTTTTTTTTTTTGGATGGAGAGGTTTTTGTTACATAACAGTGCTTTCAGTGTTACTTAAAAGAAAAAAATGTGGAATATTTCCCTGTTGAAATTACAGTCTGAAAGCAAACCAAGAAACTAAAGACACACCAAAGGCACTGAGGCAGGATGGAATATTCCATCAATCTTTGTCATCAGAAGGAAAAGGACAAACTCTGAATTCAAGGACCAGCAGTTTACCTTTAGAACATCACTGTCATTGTCATCATGGTGCTTTGCACATATAAAGTACTTGAATGTTTCATTAGAAAACATCTCTTCATCCCTTTCCTCATGCTTAGCATGGGCCCTGGGTCCTCCCTAAAGACATCAGCCCCTTTGAGAGGCATTTACTTTATCCAAAATTTCAGGGAAGGTCACTGAGCTCTGGCTGCCTCTCTAACACAGTATTTGACTTCCCCACTCCTGTGCACATATTGTATCTCATTTCTCCACTTTATTTTTACATATGTATGTATAATATATATCTTACATATTYATTATATATATATTTCATTTACCTTGTTTATTTTCTGCCTGTCCTCCTAGAATGTAGTCTCCACGTGGACAGAGATCTTCTCTGTTCTGGTCAAACCTTAATGCCTCAAACAGGTACATCTGCTGAACRATGAACGCCACAAACTCGCTTTATGGATGGAGTTAAACAGGAGGAGCAATTCCAGAAGTCAAGCCCTTACAAGAAATCAGAACTAAAATAAACAAGAATAAACATGAACAGAACAYTCTCTGAACCCAGCTTTGTTCTTTTGTGTCCCCTCCAAAAACGGAGTAGCAGAGAGTTAAAAATAAGCTCTTCCCTATTTTTTAGTGTACAATGGAACCAGACCCTGTCGGGGTCAGAGGGTTGCTTCTGTGACTGGAGCCAGGAGGCTTCCCGACCACCAACAATCTAGTGACAGGGAGGACCGTCCTAGGTTAATTACCCAGGGCAGGGCAAGTTAAGGGACCTGCTCAGACTACAGATGAGATGACTGGAAYGTCCTACGGCCAATTCTTACTTCCCAGAGCTGACCACAGTCCTCCTTCAGGAAAGAGCATGGAGGACTGCCCATATTTCTTGCTTACAGATGTCAAGAATAGGATTTCTGAAGGGCTGGCTCTGAGAAGTCTGCAGGGTGGCTGGGTCTGGCCTGAGCTCCAAACCCACAAAGGGAAAAAAGTGGGAATTGGGGGAGGTGATGCCTCCAAGACTTGTGGAGGGCAGAACCAGGTCTTTCTGACCCTCAGATCACCCAGCAATAAGAAGYCTACCCCTAAACATCTGGACAAATGTGATAGTAAATGTCCTGGTAGTATTGGGGTCCTGAAGCTCCCCAGAAGTCCTATGATCTGTGTTGTGCTGACCACATATGGCATTCTGGGATACTGGTGAACCCTAAAATTGAGGAGCAGGATTGCCCACTATCATCCAAACATGTACACTCTTGCACCCATGTGTCATTCAGACTTGAAGAGCAAGGTTTTCTGAAGTCAAGGCTATCATCCAGAGCCCCAGCTAGGTGGCTAATTGCTGTGTTGAACTGCAGAACATTCTAGAAGCTGAGGGAGACTGGGGATGAGCCCATCTTGGCTTCACAAGCTCCTTGGCCTAKGAAAGAGGAGCTCACACCCTGCCCTGACCTGTCCAGCTCCTTTAGTCAAAGGCCACGGGCTTCTTTCTTCTATCTCCATTCGCCAGAGGAGGTTATTGATGTTCCACAACAAGAACAAATGCCCCCAGAGTCCCTAAGGGCTGGCTGCAACCTGTGCTTTGACTCCCCCAAGGAAGAAAAGCATAGAATCACAGCTTCCGGGGCCGTGGGCCCCGACATAGGGTATTTCATTGGGCTCTAACATTTCTTCGTCTGTAAAGTAGATGACAATAGCTCCTGCTTCTCAGCCTGGCCAGGTAAAACGGCAGCAGTTAGTGCTTAGCTCAATTCCTGAGCCTGCCTTGCCAAGGCTGGCTGAGGCAGTAGGAAAGTTCTAGATTCACACCTCCCCCACAGTGCTGGGGATTGAACCCAGGGCCTTGTGCATGTGAAGCAAGCACTCTACCAACTGAGCTCTATCCCCAGCCCTAGGACTTACTTGATTGATTACGTACACCAGGATGACTGAGATGGGATTACAGTGTGGGATCTTGGGGACTTTAACTTGGGTGGATCTGATGTTGGGGAAGGAGAAGAGCCTGCCTTGGAGGACCCAAGATGCCAGGGCAGGACTATGATGGTTTCAATCCTCTCTGGCTCCCTCAGAAACACTTCACTTTCACCTAAAGGCTCCCGGGACTGCAGTACTGAAAAGTAAATACATAAATAAAAATAAAAGCTCCAGGTTGCTCCCTTCCCCCACAACTGCCCCACCCCCAGGCAACAGCAGAGGCAGCTCTAAAAATAGCTTGCCTCCACCGACCCCCTGGCSTGTAAATACATCTTTGTTCCAGGCTGGCATTTAATAACTGTACTTTATGGTGAAACAAAAGCTGTAATCAGAGCCCAACAATGGAAGCTGCAGTCAGCACAGAACAACACTCAGAATTCCCAGGGTGCTCTCCCATCCRCAGCTGTGAGAACCAGAAGTCGGCAGCAGGATTCCATTCACAATTATTCACCAGTCCACTGTGGCTCCTTTCCATCACAGCTTTCTTGCCTTCTTAGCAGGCTCTTGAGGGGTGAGCAGAGATGCCAAGCCTGGGCCCCCACCCAGAGCAGGTGTACAGCTCTGCAAGGGCTGGCTCTGAGAAGTCTGCAGGGTGGCCAGGGACAAAGCCAGGCTGCCCCATGCTGGAGACTGCAGCAGGCGGCTCTGCACCAGCACTTCATGCAAGACTTCCTTCAGGTAAAAGAGTGCCTTGCACCTGCTTCCTCCTGGGACCCTGCAGTCTGCACATTCCAGGACCAGRCCCCAGCTCCTTGTGCACC